ACAAATAATAGCGAGATCAGTTATCATTCAATAATAGGATGGAGATAGAGAGACAGGTAGGGGGGTGGGGGAGGATTGAGAGGGTGGGAGGGAGGGAGAGTTGGGTGGGGGCAGAGTCTAGGGGCAGTGGCATCTTGTGTAATTCAGAAAGTGTATGTCCCTGTAGGAAAAATATTACAGATAACATACTGAAGAGGAATGAAAAAAAAAATGAAGCCATCCATAAAATTATTCAAAATTCTTTTTTCAAGATTTTCTTTATCAATACCACAACTTTGTCACATGAGACATGTTTTTAATTTTCTTATTCTATAATCTTATCTTAACTTATCAGAATATAGGAAAAGGCCTTTAAATTATTCCTCTGCTTCTAAACTTATTTTAATCATGTGTGCGTGAAGTTTGGAATTTCATATAGTCAAAGAGACAGGATATAAGATCATTAGATACAAAATCAGAAATAATCTTTGATTACATTAGATACCCAGGGGGCAGGGACAGCAGGGGGGCAGGGACAGCAGGGGGTCGGGCCTAATGCCAGATGTTAACTTCGGGTTAAAACTTAGTAGGCTTAGAGACTTTAAATGCAAATGAATGTGCCATTCCATTGAACAGTCAAAAAAACAGAAAAATTGTCGACTGGTTGAAAAGCTTGTAATAAATATGGACTGTACAGTATAGAGAATAAAAAATAGGTGCCTATGAGAAGAGGGCATCATCACAAGTCAACTTTTGAACCATTGAAGCCAGATCTATAAAAATGATACGTAGAGAAACCCCTTATCGTCTGCTTATAACTTATACATCAAAAATAAAAAAATTACAAACCTTAAAGTCATTTTTCGTCAAATCAATGCCTCGGACGAAAGGCAAGACTCCTGTCGCCGCCATCTTGGATTATTGTTAAATAGAGTTATTTCCCTTCGACTAAAAACGAGAAGAATTTGGCCCGTTGCTGAAAATTAGTCCCATTGCAGACGACATTTTGTTTCAGAAAACTTAAATATCCTAAACAAAAACATCTCAGATAAAACCATCTTTTGAAGTCGGCGAGAGCAGACAGGATAAGCTCGACCTTGAATAAGTCACCTTCATTCATAATTTCAGTCCACCCATCTGTACATGGGTACAGATAATCCGGGAAAGATCATTGCCAAGAGGTTTGGCCAAAAACCAACCGGTAGAAAGGTTCCCTAACTGTGAACTCAAGTTGTTATCAAGCAGACCATGTTCACTCTTTTCGAAACACCTGATGGTATTTCTCTTTGGAGGAGTCCACTCCTACACAAATTTTACTCTCAATTTTGCCATACTTTGGACAAGAATTTGATTAACGGAATTGTCTTGCTTGTAGGGATTTTTTTATTATCCTTGTAAACTATAGTTTCTTTCTTTCTTTCTTTGCTCTAGTGTCCCTTTTATGTTTTATGATTTTCCTCATTGCACAGTATATTGTGTTTCCCCTCTTCATTAGCCCTCATAGTGCAGACAAGTAGGAAGTAAAACTCCATCCATTTCATTTCATTTCAAACACTTGAGAATCTGCACATTATACCAAAAACGATTGTGATATGTGGCAGATATTTTGCGGTGGAATTAACGAATACAGAAATACAAGGGACGCAACTACACTTTTATTATTAGTAGAGCCCAGACTACAACTACTTTTTGAAATATTAGACAGTGATCATTGTAAGGCAGTGGTGTTTCAAATAAAAAGTTGCCCAACTTTACAAATGTAATTTGATATTTTACTCTTTGTTTTCTGGAAATGTAAATTCCCAGTTTTAAAATATAAAATGAAAGTAATTATGGATATATGATTTAAATAATGATAATGTTAGTTGGATATCTGACTCTGATTGGGTCTGAATTTCCTCCCCTTTCATCTCAAATGATGATTACAGTGAATGTAACTTCAGACTCTGAAAGGTATAATTGTTGCCGAGTTAAAGCGACAGATCATGCTAAAGCCGTAACCAGGGCTATTTTCTATGAGGTAAAAATCCCGTTGAGTTTTAAGGCTAGTTATGTCTTTCATCAGAACGATTTCGGTTTTCAGTTAACTTAAAACAATAACCAACTGAACTGTAGACAGAAAATAAGCAATATATTTAGCCGATATCATATTTATGTTTCTGATGTTTTTAAACAAATAGTTTTTTTTTTGGTTAATTTGCCTCATTTGCCTTGAAGTAGTTACGGACCTGCATGCTCTTGTGATTTTCTACAGTGTCATATTTTATATTTCAATATCTATCAAAGCTAAAATAGAACGAAACATGGTGCAGAGACAATCACTTTAATTCAGAAATCATGAATTTTACTTAGATTATCAGAGTGATTTCATATTTTCACTTACAACGCAATCCTTGTTTCTATGATTACAGATGAACCATGATCATTTTTAAATACCTATTTTGTCTTTTAGGTAAGTGTATAACTTATTGTCTTAAAAACTTCACGAAATCTAGCGGATATAGTACACTCGACCACAATTTACTGGCTGGTTCAGTTGATACTATGGTTTGGTTTGGTCTGACCACAGAAAACTGCCATTGTACCAAACAATCTACTAGCTAGTTGGACATGATAGTTTGGTATGTTCTAGTCTCATTCTGACAACAGAAAACTGTCATTGTACCAAACAATCTACTAGCTAGTTATACACGATAGTTTGGTATGTTCTAGTCTCATTCTGACAACAGAAAACTGTCATTGTACCAAACAATCTACTAGCTAGTTAGACATGATAGTTTGGTAAGCTCTAGTCTCATTCTGACAACAGAAAACTGTCATTGTACCAAGCAATCTACTAGCTAGTTAGACATGATAGTTTGGTAAGCTCTAGTCTCATTCTGACAACAGAAAACTGTCATTGTACCAAGCAATCTACTAGCTAGTCAGACATGATAGTTTGGTAAGCTCTAGTCTCATTCTGACAACAGAAAACTGTCATTGTACCAAGCAATCTACTAGCTAGTTGGACATGATAGTTTGGTATGTTCTAGTCTCATTCTGACAACAGAAAACTGTCATTGTACCAAACAATCTACTAGCTAGTCAGACATGATAGTTTGGTAAGCTCTAGTCTCATTCTGACAACAGAAAACTGTCATTGTACCAAGCAATCTACTAGCTAGTCAGACATGATAGTTTGGTAAGCTCTAGTCTCATTCTGACAACAGAAAACTGTCATTGTACCAAGCAATCTACTAGCTAGTCAGACATGATAGTTTGGTAAGCTCTAGTCTCATTCTGACAACAGAAAACTGTCATTGTACCAAGCAATCTACTAGCTAGTTAGACATGATAGTTTGATATACTCTAGTCCCATTCTAACTACAGAAAACTGTCATTGTATCAAACAATCTACTAGCTAGTTAGACACGATAGTTTGGAAAGTTCTAGTCTCATTCTGACTACAGAAAACTGTCATTGTACCAAGCAATCTACTAGCTAGTTAGACATGATAGTTTGGTAAGCTCTAGTCTCATTCTGACAACAGAAAACTGTCATTGTACCAAACAATCGCTTTTTGATATGTTTTTCTGAAAGGAAATTCGACGCGAAATTCGTCTGTAACAAAGCAATATTTCCTATGAAAATTCTTAAAATGTAATCTTCCACATTCAATTGATGTGAGACATCTCAACACTTAGATTGTGGTCATCGTCGCTTCATGAAATAATGTACTCAGAAATGGCCATTGCAGATGATTTATTTAAAGGAGAAATTGTTAAATGGCCTTAGCAAACAATCATGCTCTTCTAAACTTCTTATGATTCATGATTTATTTTCTTCTTCTTCAGGCGCTCCAGTCTCCAATGTCGTCGGAGATAGACAGAGAGGTGGAGATGGAAAACTAGACCTTGAGGGTGGGGAAGTCGGCCTCGGAGATGAGAAAGGCGGCTTCGGAGATGAGAAAGGCGGCTTCGGAGATGGGATAGGAGGCTCGAGAGACGGGAAATTAGGCTTCAGAGATGGGATTAGAGACTCGAGAGATGAGAAAGAAAGATTGAATGATGGGAAAAACGGCTTGGGTGATGGGATAGGAGGCTCGAGAGATGGGAAAGGCGGCTTCAGAGATGGGATAGGAGGCTCGAGAGATGGCAAAGGCGGATTCGGAGATGGGATAGGAGGCTCGAGAGATGGGATAGGAGCCTTGAGAGATGGGAAAGGCGGATTCGGAGATGGGATAGGAAGCTTGAGAGTTGGGATAGGAGTCTTGGGAGATGGAAAAGGCGGCTTCGGAGATGGGATAGGAGGCTCGAGAGATGAGAAAGGAGGCTTGGGAGGTGGGATAGGAGGCTCGAGAGATGAGAAAAGAGGCTTAGGAGATGGGATAGGAGGCTCGAGAGATGGGATAAGAGGCTTGAGAGATGGGAAAAGCGGATTCGGAGATGGGAAAGGAGGCTTGAGAGATGGAAAAGGCGAATTCGGAGATGGAATAGGAGGCTCGAGAGATGGGATAGGAGGCTTGAGAGATGGGAATGGAGGCTTGGGAGATGGGATAGGAGGCTCGAGAGATGGGAATGGAGGCTCGAGAGATGGGAATGGAGGCTTGAGAGATGGGAAAGACGGATTCGGAGATGGGAAAGAAGGCTTGAGAGATAGAAAAGGCGGATTCGGAGATGGGATAGGAGTCTCGAAAAATGAGAAAGAAGGCTTGAGTGATGGGAAAAACGGCATGGGTGATGTGAAAGAAGACTTCCGAGATGAGAAAGGAGGCTCGAGAGATGAGAAAGGAGGCTCGAGAGATGGGAAAGGCGGCCCCGAAGATGGGAATGGAGGCTTCGGAGATTGGATAGGAGGCTTCGGAGATGAGAAAGTAGACTATGATGATGGGAAAGACGACCTCGGAGATAACAAAGGAGGCTTCGCAGATGGGAAAGTAGATTATGAAGATGGGAAAAGCGGATTCGGAGATGGGAAAGAAGGCTTTTATGTTTACAAAGCCGATCCAAAAGTAAATCACACCGATGGTAAAGGAGGCTCTGAATATGGGAAAAAAGACGGAGGTTCTGATGAGTCAGGAGTCAATAAAAGAAGTAGAGTAGCCAGAGGCATTGCCAAAGGAGGAGGTGGAGGAGGCGGCTACGGTAGAGGAGAAGGAGGAGGAGGCTATAATGGAGGAGGAGGCTACGGTGGAGGAGGAGGCTATGGTGGAGGAGGCGGCTACGGTAGAGGAGAAGGAGGAGGAGGCTATAATGGAGGAGGAGGCTACGTTGGAGGAGGAGGCTATGGTGGAGGAGGCTATGGTGGAGGAGGCGGCTATGGTGGAGGAGGCGGCTATGGTGGAGGAGGAGGCTATGGTGGAGGAGGAGGAGACTATAGTGGAGGAGGAGGCTATGGTGGAGGAGGAGGAGGAGGAGGAGGAGGAGGAGGCTTTGGTGCAGGAGTTGAACTTGGGTCTGGAGGAAGAGAAACCTGGAATATTAAAACAAAGAGTAGGTCATTCCTATCCAAAACTTCCAACTTGAGAATTAATTTCCTACCAGGTTATTGGACTGAATCTAATTTCGTATACTCCTTCATCCATTTGGAGATTCGTCTGATGGTCAGTAACGCCATAATGCTTACAATTCTAGTCTGATTTTTGACGAAACTTGGTTTTAATGATATTTGTGCATAGATATAGATGATATAGCGGGTGAGTTGGCTTTTCGTGATTTTCCGATATAGTTTTAAATATTGAGTTATTACCCTTGATTAAGCAGACAAATGTCAATATTGACTTGTGAGTGCGATACATACTATGGTTTGGGTTGGATTTCAACGAAACCTGGTAGCTTATGTATATTGATGAGATCTCAAATGCTTTTGATTTTCATGAAATTTCGAGTTTTGAGTTTCTACCCTTGATTTAGCAAAATCTATATTGATGATATCTTAGAAGGTTTGATTTTCACGTATTGTAGAGGAACAGTTGTTGAGTTATTTCCCTTGGCTTATCAAAAATAACCCCATGTAAATTATGGACAGTATTTATGATAAATATGTCAGTTTTCTTGTTGTAGATATTAACAAGTTGTTTTTCTTTACTTTCAGATTCTGCCAGGAGTACATATAGTGACTTACAGGTAAGTAGGGTAACCAAGATAAAAAAAAAGGGTAACCGAGAGGGGGGGGGGGGGGGGGACATTTTGAA